CCATTTTGCACATTTAGAGAGTGGTGTGGCGATGCCCTAATTCGAACTCAGGTCTGCATGTCAACTGTTCATGGGTGTACCAACTGGCAACTGGGATAAGCCTATTGACCGTCTCACGACCTGAAGGCAGCCTGTCTTCCCAAAACAAAGAAAAAGTCCAGCCCTTTCTACGTGGAAGCATCCGATTTCCACGTGTCATTGTCAGGGCGTTTCATTTTTTTTTATTTTTATTTTTTTTTAAAGGATTTTTCTTTTTTTTTTAATCCAGTGAATAATTGAAAGAATGTGAAAGATGTAAAAAAAAACAAAAATTAAATTTGAAAGATGATGAAACTTTTCACCACTTTCCTCTTCCTTTCTGCTCTTCTTTGCCCTTTTTCTGTGGAATTAACACAAGTCATTGTCAGGGCGTTTCGTTTTTTTTCTTTTTTTTTTAATCCAGTGAATAATTGAAAGAATTTGAAAGATGTAAAAAAATAATAATAATGATTTGAAAGATGATGAAACTTTTCACCACTTTCCTCTTCCTTTCTGCTCTTCTTTGCCCTTTTTCTGTGGAATTAAGGGCCTCGCCGCACCACTGCGAAAATGCTATTTTCGACATTTTCGCTTGGCCACACAGGCTGTCGAAGTTGGAGACGGGAAAAAAATCCGGCAGCTGTCAGAGAATGCTTCTCGACACCTCCTGTCGAAAGTTGTTGAATCCCCAGCCTGCTACTCCATTGCTTTCGACACTCCTCGGCTGCGTCGTCGACTTCTCGTCAAAATTCGGTGACTGGTGGTAAGGTCGGGATGGACTAATGCTTGTCGTACCCTCTGGCGCGTTCGTCGTTTTCCATCTTGCATTCACAAGTGCGTGGACTCTACAGTGTTGTGTGGCTAAAGGGGGGCAAACTGTCGAATGGAGGCTGTCGACTTTGTTCTGACAGCCGTCGAGTTTTTTTGCATTTCGACTGTGGTGCGGCGAGGCCCTAACACACGGTCGTCTATGGAAACTCGACCATCCACTCTGGCACTGGACCACTGGTGTGCACAAACAATCGCCCAGGCGAGCACGCTTTTTTTTTTCTTTTTTCGAGCACGCATTTCGTCCACTGTGCCTCTCAACTTCTCACCCCTTTCCACCTCCTTTCCCCCCTTCTTCGCCCTCTTGCTGTGGAATCAACACTGCATCGTCCAGCTCCATCTACCTTCCACTCTGGGATAATTGGTAGGAGGAGCCCACGCAAAAACCTTTTCGGTTTTGGCCGCCCAAAACTCAGCCGTTTGGTACTACACGCCCAAACGTTTTGCATGATTGTGCCCGCACTTCCAGTGTTCCGCCCACCTTCTCATACCTCTTTCCACTTCCTTTCTCCCCTTCTTTGCCCTCGTTCTAGGGAATGGACACTCCATGGCCGGATTCCATCGGCCTTCCACTCCGGCGCTGTTGCACACAAAGTTACAAACACATCACCTCACCGGCATTGCCAAAGCTAAACTCTTGAACATGACATGACATGAATAGAAGGCCATACCGACGATGATACGCTTGTCGCACACGACACGAGTAGAAGGCTGGGTAATTATGGACACACGTGTGACGCGCAAACCTCACGCCCTGTGTTGTCTTTCGTACGGAGTGCTAGGAGTGCGGAAAAGAGGCCCAGAAAAACAGCAAGATGGGGTGTGCCAAGGATTTTTGGAAATTTAGTGTGGGGACACAGACGGAACTGAAGTCCCTCGTGTTGGTCCGATGCAGTAAGTTGTACGTTTTTCCCGCGTCGTAAAACGCGCGCGCAGGCACGGCGCGAAAAGAGAAAAGATTCAATCTAAAAAGTATTGTCGAGCTTCCCAACGAGCTACAGATCTTCATTTAGAGCGGAAGGGTTTTCGCACGCTGTGCGTATCCCGTTTCCGTATCAGGTCCCGACGTCTCTCGTGGGTTAGTTCTGAGTCCGACGTGGATGGTCTTAGTCACGTCACTCTTTCCTTGTGCTCTTCTTCACTCCGTATCCGGTAGTGGAAGCCCTTTGATTCGTAGCGATCGAAACGCCGACATTCAGAGCACAGGGTTCGAGGCCAATGGGGCGCCACTACCGTCCACGGAATAACAATCAACTCATTGAAAGGCAACAATACCGAATAAGGCGGAAAATGAGTATCGATAATGACAAAGCCCGCATCCACAAACCCAGAACAACGATTTTCAGGAGGGAAATAGTATCGACCGCCGATCTGTGCGACAGCTTCCCGTACATCCCACTCGCATACACGTGTCATTTCCTTGTTGTAGGGAAAGGGACGCGCTGGCGAGGGAGATACGGAAGGTCGACGCCCGATCGACGGACGACCGTCCGTCCACATATCAATTAATCAAAAGCAAGGTGCGATCGAATAAACAGAGAGTGGGTCATGCAATCATATGTCGACTAAGCTTGTGACAGCGAGCGATCAACTCGCGACTCAGTTTGCCGTCTGTCGATGTCGTGCAACATAAGGCAGATGGCATGCGCAGTGCAGATCTAAACACTCTTGCATTCTCGAACAGAATCCCGTCAGATCGAATCGACGAAACAATCATCTACCCATGCATACATTCACTGTGGAAGGTGCGAAAATTTGTATATGTATATGAAATCAGGGGACTGTACACTCGCACTCATCGTTCACGAGACAGACACACTGGAGTCCCTGGCTTTCTCGAGATTACCCAGGAAACTAATGGAAGAGTTCCGGAAGAAGTTCGCAAAAATACACAGATTCATTCCCATTCAGAGGAAGAGCAATCATATGGACACCAGGCCATTCACAGACAAAGGGGGAGAGTAGGAAAGAGAGAAGAGAAACAGAGAGAGAGAGCGAGAGAGATGGACGATGCAAAGATCCAAGATCCCAAGGGGAAAAATCTGGCGTTTCCGCCTTACACTCACACCGAAAGATAAAGATCCGCAACAGAAAAGGCGCAATCGCCATGAATTTCAACATGGCCCCGGGCCATTCACTCAACTCCAAGCACCGATCCTCATACCCACACCGACGATCCCTATCGTCGCATGCTAACCTCTGCCCATGCGATCGTCACTCCGCCGACGCAGACTCGACTCGGCTCGCCCGGATCCCACAGTCCGTCGTGGTGATCAAGCGCGCAGCCGATCGGCCTACTGTCAGCCCGACAGGACTGCCCGACTCGCATAACCACCTCTCCTAGCCACGACTTCCTGGAAGCTGGCTTGGGAGTTTGAAAACGTAAGAGAGCTTTGCGGACGCGCTTGCGAAATTTATAGTTGCGGCAAGGGAGGTAGAAAAGGAGAAAGGCGAAGGGGAAGTCAAGGTGCAAGAGAAGCAGGAGGAGAAGACTTTGAGAGGAGTGTGTGGGAGAAGCCATGTTGATCCCTCGAACGCGAAGTTCAACCAATCGGATTCGCTGCAAGATAGGGAAGTCCTATCGTTCCACGCGTCTGATTGGCGAACGGGAGTGATCAGGGGCTCAACCGAGCTTCGTGCGATGTGTTTGGGAGAGAGAGGAAAAAAAGAGCGCGAGAAGTAGCGCAAGACGGGTCCGAGATTCAGACGAGCAAGAAGGAGAATGGGCGCCCAAAGAGCAAGGGGACAGAAAAACAGTTGGGAACGAGAGGGGGAAGAAGAAGGAAAGAAGAATGGGAGGGAAGAACGACGCGAGAAGTGATGAGGGGGGGAGCTTGCATGTGCGGCGTTGCTAGCGAAAAGCGCACACACAATTACCGCTTGCCTAAATTAAATTCAAAAATTGAAATCACCATATCTGCGCGCGAATATGCCGAAGCGCGAAAAGAAGGACCCCGTGCCCTTCGTATTCTCACAAAAATTCCTACAGTTTTCTCCGACGTGACCAAGAACATTCATGCACAAAAAGGACACGTCGCGTTCCTGCTTATCCCAGAATTTGCAACTGTGGAGCCTGATTCCCAGCGCGCTCGCTAAGGCGCGCGTAATTTCCCATGCATTTCACAAATTGCAAAAAGACAAAATTCCCGGACTTACTAGAACCTCGAAAAGAAAACAATCTTCCCGAAATCAAAAAAGCTTGCCGATGGATTTGTAGAGTCGGTAAAATACAAGAAGGGCCGAAGGAGAGAGAGAGAGGGGGGGGGGGAGTTGTTAAAAACAAGGGGTACGGAAGATAGCACAGGGTCGGGAGATGGTACGTCACATATGTGACGCGCAGGGGGTTCCAAATTATGCGATCTCCTGATTGCATGAAGAGACGAAGGAGCAGGAAGCAGTGCAAGGAACGATAATTCGAGCCGAGGATGAGATGGCGACAACATCAGTGGCAAGATCGTCTCAGCCCAGTGATTCCCATCCTCCTTCTGACTCCAATTCGTTGTTGGCACTGCGGAGACCGTCCAGGTGACGCCATCATCGTCCACCTGGTCTCTGTGTGCTCTGCACCCCCCCCCCTCTTCGTCGCGTCCCGTCGAATCAGAGCGTAGGTTGATGTCATCGTCGATGGCATGATCTTCACGAAGCTGCTGATTCATGTCGCATGGTGAGGAGAAAGGAAAAAGGCGAGGTCGGGATTAGCGCCTCGTAGGGATGGGGTAATAGACGCGGTACATGTGGGGATGTTCACGGGGAGGATGAGAGGGCAGTGGAGGTAGGTAGCGATTCATTCCTTCTATGGTCACTGGGAGTGCTTCGTAACGTATGATCCGGTGGAAGCGAGGGAACCGATCGCCGGTCTAAGGGAGGGAGGCAAGATAGTCACGGTAGTCTGTAGAGGGAGGAGAGGGTGCGGATGAGGGTTGTGCGGAATAGATAATGGTGACGGCAGGAGGGGATTGTTCCCGTTGCCATGCAGTAGACCTCCACTACGCTGCATTGTTCCCACGCAGCGCTGAACAAAAAGATGTGCAGACAAAACGTAGGATTCATGGGTTGAAGAGAGGGGTAAGGGTGGACGGTGGCAACAAGACGCGTAGAGTAGAAGTGGCGAAAATGGTGGGGAGGGAAGGGATTATGGGGGAAGGTGACAGGGGTACGGATCGGCTCTAGGGTAAGGTAATCAAGGGGACGGTGGGATAATGACCGGGGATGAAGGCCTATCGCCCGCATTGGTACGTGGACGAACTGCGGGACGGGTTGGGGAGGAGGAGGAGGGGGACCGGCTGCGTCTCCGCCGCGATGGGCCTGGGGCGGCTGTCGTCAATCCGCCATCTCCGGACTCGGGAGGCTCCGGATTCCGGGTCGGGTCGTCGCTGATGCGCAAGCTTGCTTCGGGGGCGATCTCTAATTGCTCCTTCCCCGCGGCAATCTCCCGTCTTCTTCGTGCGACTTCGGGATCCTCCGCCTCCATACCGATGCGTGCCGCTTCCTCCGGCAAAGCTTCCCACTCCGATCCACTTCCTCCCTCTTCTTCTTCTTCGCTCCCACTTTGCTCGCCCTCGCTATACTCACTATAGCTCCCTTCTTCCGTTGACTCTTCGTCGTCCCCTCCTGCCTCCTCTACCACCTCCTCCCTTGCATAAAAGGCGTGAGCGATGATGTCGTACGGCTTCAGATAGGCTTGGCGTGAGGGTAGAGAATCTTCGCTCGCCGGCTCTTCCAAGCACGCAGTCCACTGAAGGTACGGATCTAACGTCCGTGTGAGGATGTTTGGAGCGGGGCTGTAGTCGCTCTGCGATACGATGTCAGGAGAGAGATCGTCCGCCAGCTGAACGATCGACTCGATAAGCTCTTGTGCGATCACCTGACGGTGACCAGGGCGCACCGATCCGTACAAAAACCCAAGAAGATCACCTTTTGTGCCCGTCCTCCAAGCTTGCACGATCAGCAACTCCACGCTCTCAAGGCACGCAGGCTGGTTATCGGTCGGCATCCACGTCACTTGCACTCGAGCCAAACACACAGACAGATCGACAAAGATCCGGCGCCACGCTTGCCAGTACCCGGGGTTAAGTATGGGGACAGGAAGGGGTTCGATTACGAGAGAGATGTGGGAATGGAGATCAGATCGCCAGAAGGTGGGGAAGAGGGAGGGGAGGCCAAAGATAGAGAGGGGGGTGAGGGCAGGACGGTTCATTGAGGAGGCTGGAAGGCGACGAGGGTGGGGAGGGCGACCGGGGGCTGACGTGGAGAAACGCGGATGTTGTCAAGATCCGGCGCCAAGGTGGGGATAAGATTATGCCCTGGTCGGCCAAGACCGTGCTGCCACTCGAGGGACACCTGCTGCGCCCACTCCTGCAACGAAGTCAAGATGGTTGTATGCCGCGACTGGCTGATCGAGCTGATATCACCGTCAAACAAATACAGGTGAACTCAGGGACCATATATCTCATGATAAAAAATGACAAAAAAAAAATCTTGCTTTTCTGTATTTTTTTCTTCTTTAAATCCAATTTAGTTTTTGATTTGTTAACAATCCTAAACAAAGTCGGATTCCAAAACAACAAATATGGGATTGTACGGCTTAAAATTCCCTACAAATTCCCTACAACCCCCCCTTTTTTTTTTTGGCCCATTATTTAATTCAGGAACAATCTGGTAAATTTGGGTCCGCGGGACGGACGAGGTCGGCCGCGGAGGCGGCCGTGTATACGTCCGCCCTCCGAGCTCGGCCCCGTGGACGCGTCCGCGGGTGTTTCCTAGCCGACAACCCTAGCAACAAGACCCTGCTGCTAACGTCGTCTGATCTCCACCACCGCTCGGTCCCTCCGACTGTCTAACCCCGAGTCTATCGCTAAGCCCGCTCCACGTCGTCATTCCGCCCGACGCCCGTCACTTGGGCTTGTCGAGCCTGTTCGACGTTGTGGACATCGCGCATAGCTCATGCAGTATTGCAGCCAAGCTCAAAGAGAGGGAGAGGAAGGGGTTGCGAGAATTTATTTCGCAGAAGAAAGCGGGGAGCCAGAGTGAGGTGCGGGTAGCATGGCGTGTAGATGAGCTTGGCAGAAGAAGGGCCGGGTTCCAGAAGGATCGAAGGAGGCGAGTTGAACAATCTGTGTAATTGGGGTGGTCATTCAAGTGGTATCCGGTGACGATGTGACGCGCCTTCCGCTCTCACCACATTGATTTGACCATCCCAATTAGAAAAAATATAGAATTCGTGAAAACCTAATAAAATAAATTGTAAGGTTTGCAAGAAAATTTTTAAAGATTCTGATAATACTTTTTTCAGGCCTCGTACATGAACAAAATTTTGTGTGAAGTAAATTAACCGCAAAAAAGGAATAGAAAACTATTTTTTCAGAACCACAAGAAGTGATGAGGAGAGAAGCAAGTTTTTTACAAAAAATCAGTACCTTGCAAAACACCGTTAATTCGAGAACTGAAATATCACAATTTTTTGTTTAACTAAAAAAATCATATTTATAGTTCTTTAAGGTATGTAGCACGACGAACCTATTCGGGGGTTTTCCAAACATGCACACATGCTCTCCTATGCATGAATACATTCGTTTGGATATGTTCTCTCGTACAGGGACGAATATATTGTTTTTAAATTTTAAGTGTTTTTATTAAATAATTTTTTATTTTTTATTTTTTATTTTAAATCAACGTTGGCTAGGAATTTGAAGATGTCTCCCAGGCAAAAGTTGTTTTAATTCTTCTTTTACATAACATATATTTTTGACAAGGGTTTTACAGTTAACTTAAAAATAGAGTTATATTAATAATTAATTTATAGTTCTATAACTTGCGCTTTGCTGGAAATTATTTTCTTGCACATTTTGAGAATCGTTCGACTTTTTGCTTTTTTTTTTGCCTCCTTTCCTCTAACATGCTCTCGCCTAACAGTTTGACCTTTACTTTTTCATTCTAAAAAAAATGTTAGTTTTTGTTAGGTTTTCACGAATTCGGTGTTAAATACGCAAATGTCAAGATGTCTGACTTCGGTACAAGGGCGCACATTTTCGAAGTGCTTCTTTATTTTCTTTTTTCTCGCATGTTTGTGCATCACGGTTTAAAGAACCAAAAATGGAATGGAGAATTTTGAAGCTGACATGGTTTTTTGCGTTCCAATTTATAGGACTATAAATACACAAATGTCAAGATGTCCGGCTTTGGTACAAGGGCGCACATTTTCGGAGTGCTTCTTTGTTTTCGTTTTTCTCGCATGTTTGTGCGTCGCAGTTTATAGAACTATAAACGGAATGGAGAATTCCAAAGCTGAGATGATTTTTTGCTTTCCAATTTCTAGGACTCTAATTGCGCAAATGTCAAAAGATCTGGCTTCGGTACAAAGGCGTACATTTTCGGAGTGCTTGTTCCTTCCTTTTTTTCTCTCGTGTGTGTGCGTCATGTTTTTAAAGAACTATAAATGGAATTGAAAATTTCAAAGCTGCAACAATTTTTTGCGTTACATGTTATAGGACTATAAACATGCAAATGTCGAGACGTCTGGCTTCGGTACAAGACCGTACATTCTTGGAGTGCTTGTTCCTTTTCTTTTTTTCTAATGTGTTTTTGCCTCTTGCTTTTTAGAACTACAAACGAAATTTGGGATGCCTGAACTGCATCTGTTTTCTGCTTCTTTAATGAAAGGACTCCAAAGGTGCACATTTCAAGACGTCCTGCTTTCGTACAACGTAATACATTTAAGAGTGATCGTTATCCTGCCTGGGTTTTCTTAACTTTCCTCTAAGTTTGTAAGTGGTATCTAGTGTTGTGGAATGAATTGCCATATTTGCGCGGTTTCAGCAGAGCAAAGAATTGATTACTCGACTACAAGCGGTTTTTGGGATCACTTGTTGACCTGCTTTTGTATGATAAAAATGAGGCGCAGTGGACAAACTTTCGTCTCACTAATCACCTTCTCCTAACAGGAGCCTTGATTTGGTATGTTTTCCAACACTAGGTGCGGCATACAACGTGAAAAAGTAGCACTAGCGGAGTGAAAATGAGTGGAAAAATTTTGGTTTTCTCCAGTCTATAAAGGTTGTTTGGTTTTCTACGTTTGTTTGGTTTTCTACGTTTGTTTGGTTTTCACGAATACTCTGTTACAACCAATCGTTTGTGGTGATGGGTAAGGAGAGGATCGGACTTTGCTTGAGGGAAGATGAACAGGCATGCGAGAAGGAAATGAGTGGCAAGAAGGGAAGATGGCGCGGGGATGCAAAGCGGGGGAACGGGTTCACGAAGCGTGCAAAATTTTGAAAAATTTTCGTACAAGCAAAAATTTCAAAATTCCTACCCACACTAATTCCTAACTGTTTCTTGGATTTCTCAGTGCGGTTGCTAACCAGCTATGCGAGAAAGACATCAAGGGCAGTCCTGAAACGGAAAAATAAGTTTTTGTTCCATCCGTCTTCTCTAGAACCCGTACTCCGAGGCTTACGTGGGATATTCCCCTAAGGGCACGGGAAGCTACCGAGTAAGGACCCTCGCTTATCACATTTGTGATGTGCAGGGGGTTTCAAAAAATCAGCAGTCTCCTGACTGTTGTATAAGTGTCCAAATTACTCTGAGGATCCAGGCAACCTCTTCATCGTCAGCTGGCCCTAACGGTAAACAACCGATCATCATAAAAAGTGTGTGCGTGTGTGTATATATATATATATATATATATATATATAGTTTTTTACAGCGTGTGTTGATGCGTGACCTTCCTAATCAAGGAGGAAAGGTTCGAAGGAAGTGGTCGATCTCAAGGTTGCGAGGGGGAGGAAGAGCAAAGAGGGGGAAAAAAGGTTGCCAACGCAGCTCGATTTGTCGGCGCCGCCACTTCGTTGAAGTGATGTTGGACAAACGAGGGGTAAAGAAAGGCCCCCGACACGAGCGTTAGGACATATGGCGCCAGATCAGCAATGGCCCGTACGACTCATCGTCGCACCGGGTGGTTCCCTGGACCCGTCATCACCAGCTTGGTCTCGGTATACGACCTCCGCTCCCTCCTGAGCACAGCGGTATAAGCGTCCCCGTAATTCTGGCCGCCACATATCCTTCAAACGGCGACGGTAGAAACAACTCCCATGCGGGATCAGGACGCGGGGCCCCCTCGATCTGTGTGACACTCCGTATGTCGTACGGGGCTCCGCTCGTACGACCGTACGGACGGCTGTACGACCGTTTGAACGGCCCCGTACATAATGATGAAAACTCCCCAAAAAAAAACAAAATATATATATATCGTCACAAACAGAACTGCCCGGTAAACCGTAGGCAGAGAGAGAGAAGAGGACAACAAATGAGGTGCTGTGACAAACTGTTTCGTCGGAGTTTCACCGACTCATCAGGAGGCTATATATATATATATATATATGGGGGTGTAGAGCTTTTCGTGCTCTACACCCCCGTATTTTTTATTTTATTTTTTGGTCTTTATTAATATTAAAACAAGAATAAAAATCATCACAACGGGGAAAAAAAAGAAAATAAAGAAATAAAAATTGATTGATTGATTGAGTCTGATTTTGTGTGTGTGTGTGTGTCTGTGTGTGTGTGAGAGAGAGAGAGAGAGAGAGAGTGAGAGAAAGAAAGAGAGAGAGAGAAAGAGATGGAGAGTACTTCGATCGATTCGTTGCGCAACGTACCGGGCAACAGGTAAGTCTCAAACGTCGAGGCTGGCCTCGCGCAACCTCTATTGAAAGGATGAGCATAATTGATCGAATCTTCCGCTAGAACGTCGAAATAATCACTGCACACGTGTGTGTGTGTGTGTGTGTGTGAGAGAGAGCCGCGCGCGCGCGCGCGTGAGAGAGAGAGAGAGAGAGAGAGAGAGAGAGAGAGAGAGAGAGAGAGAGAGAGAGAGAGAGAGAGAGAGAGTACTTCGATCGAATCGTTGCGCAACGTACCGGGCAATAGGTAAGTCTCAAAGGCCGCGGCTCAGACGGCTGACCTCGCGCAACTTCCATCGAAAGGATGAGCATAATCGATCGAATCTTCCGCTAGAACGTCAAAATATTTACTGCTACATATGTGTGTG